CCCCATAGTTTTAGCAATTTAATAATGCATATAGATATTATTTCCTGGACATAAATATTTAGATAATTTTTATTAAATATAGGAATAAATTTCCCACCAGTAATAGTCATTTGTTTAAAAAATAGTCTCTTAGGTCTGGTCAGACAGCTCAGCGGATTAAAGCACTTGTTTAGGTAGGCACAGGAATTAGGGTTCAATGCCCAGTGTGCTGCGTTGGTCTGGCCCCTGGGGCACACTGACGCAGGGACTGAGACTGGGTGTGATGGCACTTGCCTGTAACCCCACCACTTGGGGAGGCTGGAAATAGGAGGATCACTACGAGTCTGATCTGTGTAGTGAGACCCTGTAGAGCCTGTACAAAAAACCCCCCAAAACATCAAAACAACAAAATAACCTCTTATAAATGTAATGACATTATTTTTTAAATTTTCTTATTTGGGATAAAATTTTTAAACATTGTTGCTAAGATTTTTAGAAACAATTTTGAGATAATACAATATAGTGAAGATATACACTATAATAATTTAAATGGGATGATCATAACATATGATGAATATTTAAATGTAAACAATCTTAATAAAGAAAAAGACACATTGCTCTTAATTACCCTCAAAGTACTCCCACTCACTTTGAATACTCACATTCTGTCATCCTTGCTACTTTCTGAACCAGTTTTTGAAGTCCTCTTTGATGTCTTTCATTGCACTGCCTGAGTTGATCCAAAATATTTACCTGACATGGACTTTTTGACTTGGAGGAAGAGCCAGGGGTTGCAAGGTGCCTGATGCAGTGAATAAGATGGATGAGGAAACACTAAAGGTTTTGTGCAGCAGCAATTGCTATAGCAGAAGCCACGTACGCTGTAGATCATTGTTGTGATGGAGGATGATGCCATTTGCCATTTCTTAGTTTGTTCTCTACTCACATTGTGGCTTCCTTAAATAGTAACGCTGTATAATAAAGTGCACTGGAGTGCTCTTAGATACAAACTCAGCTCACTCTATTCCCTCAGATCAAAACAAAAATCAATATTGCTCTAGTGTTGGGTCATTATTGATACACTTTTTAAACGAGTCCTGGGCAATTTTCATCAAGAGCTCTGAATCCGATCTCGAGAACTTAACCATAAACACCAACTTCTTACAAAGCTGGAATCTGAAGCATCAAATGATTGCACAATTCAAATAAAATGGGTTGTTGGTGACCTAAGATTTACACCGCATTTTAAAACATACTTTTTTTAACCATAGTTCACAAATGACCAATTGCATAAAACAGGACGAAACTTCTCACACCTTTTTTTCTAAAATATGATGTACATACCTCCTATTAAATATTCCTGCATGTCTGTTGGATGACCTCAGCAGTTGCTGTTACAGCTTATGTCTAGGTGTTCCCCCAGAGTGGCATGTAGCCATAGGTGGGGATTTTCAGAGGTTATTAGATATGGAATGTGTGATGTGTGATTATTAAATTAGTCTACTGATTTGTTTGATATCATCACTAGGAATGGTAGTTTACATATAGTATAACAGAAAGAAGCTGCTAATCTTGCTTAGGGATTGTTACCTTCTTGATTTGCTATCATTGATCCTCCATAAACTGCTCTCCTTGGCCATGCCACCCTGCCTTAGAGTCAGCGAATTATGACTGAAACCTCTAAAAATAGGGAGCTAAATGCACCTTGGCTCCTTTAAGTTTGTGACAGGTGATTTTTCTCAGCAATGGGGAAAGTAATTAAGATACAGTTTGATACCAGAGAAATGAGGTCATTGCTGTGACTATACCTGACCATGTGGTTCAGGAGCTTTTGGCACTGGCTTGTAAGAAAAGTTTGGAAAGTTTTGGAGGTGCTGGAAAGAAAAGTATCCCTGGAATGCCTGAGGCTGTGTTTCTTTTTTTTTTTTTTTAACATTTATTTATTGTGTGTGTGTGGCCAGCTCAGCCCACCAGGGGGCGCGGCTGGCTGGCATGTGGTGCTGGAGGATCGAACCGCGGTTCCTGTGCTTTGCCGAGCTTGTTCCAAGTAGGTGCTTTAGACCACTGAGCCATCTCTCCAGCCCAGGCTGTGTTTCATGGGAGGTTCCAGTCAGAGTTCAGAAGGCCAGAAAGCTGACAGAAATGCTGCCAGTAAATAGCAGGTTCAGAAAGTTTGGACTGTCAAGAGGGACAGTGTTGGCTGTTGGACTCAATAATATTACATTTTTTGGCCAGGTCATCCTGCTCTGGGGGGCAGGGCTGGTGCAGATTCTGGTGCCAGGGATCAAACTGTGGTCTCTGTGCTTGCCCAAGCTTACCTTAGCAAGCATTTTAGACTGCTGAGTTATCTTGCTGGTCATCAGTAACATTTATATTGTTGCTTGGAAGAAAGTTTGTATTTTGCTCATGTCTAGAAACTTTTGCCTGAGACTAAGAGTAGTGGAATAATTAATCTTGAAGAGCAAATTTCAGTGTGGAGACTGTACCATGGATACTGTTGGGAGACTTTTGCCAGATCTATGTTAAGAATTGAAAGCAAAGAGCCCAGGATAGTGAATTAGAATGCTGTGCGAAGGGAGGCCCTAGTTAAGTTGTAGACAACAAATGTAATGCAGAGGAGAACTTAACTGTTGAGAGGAAATAGGAAAATAGAGAAATAGCCTGAGAACATTCACAAGAACCAGCAGGACCTCAGAGTTTGTAGCCTCAGAATTGGAAAAATGAAAGAGTTTGCTTTGAGAAGAGAGCTCCAGCACACAATGTTCCAGAAAGGCAGTGTCCTTTGAAATTGTACTTTGAAATTGGGTTCAGAGTGCTCAGTGATCAAAGCCCTCAACCCTTAAAGATAAGACAGAAGGAAGCACAACTACTGCTCCAGCTGGTAGCAGAACTTGGCACCATCACACGGTGTTGGTTTTAGGTGCATGCAGAATGCAAAGTTGTGGGGTCAGGAAGGCTTTCACCCAGATTTCAGAAGAAGGCCTGGGAGGCCAAACAGTATGCACCCGAGAGGGCAGGAGTCTGTGAGTCTGTGAGTGTGAAGTTGAAGGTGCAATGGAGCTCCCCAGAACATTGGAGAAGCCAGAAATATAGATTGTTGGAGGACAGAACAAAGCTGAACTAAAAGAGGGTGGAGCTACCTAAGTACTTTGGAACTCACATCTTGCTGAAGATTGTTTTAGATGCTGAAATTGGTAATCCTGGACTTAATGTTTACCTTTCTGGATTTATGACTTGCTTTGGTCTCATTCCTATGCATCCCTCTGTTTACAATTTTTGAAATGGAAATGCCTAACTTATGTCATTGAATGTTGGAAGTATTTAACTTTCTTTTTATTCAAACAGGAGCTTAGAGATAAAGAATAAGCTTTATATCTCAGAGTAAACTCTGAATTAGATTTTTCAGCAATGCTGAAAAGTACCTTGGCAATGCTTACAGATTAACTAAATTTGTTTTGCATAAAGGGATATTCATGAGTTTGAGGGTCTAGGGCTGAAATGTTATGGTTTATTTCTAGATGCCCCTCTCAATCTACATGTAGTCACAGGTAGTGCTTTGTCTAAGACAGTTGGATTAAGGGTGTGTAATGCTGAGATTAAGACTTTGTGATTACCACAGTAGTCCAATAATTGGCTTCACATAGTTCTAGGCTGAGTGTTACCCACCCAAACGATGGGTGTTCTAAATAGGATATAAATGTACAGGAAAAGCCTGCTACTGTTGCTTGTCAGTTGTCTCTTGCTGTTTTGCCATCTGCTGCTTGCCATGAACAATTTCTATTCGGTGATGTTCTTGTGAGCTTTGAAAACCCTTTGCTTCTTTAACTTCGCAGATTTGGAATTCTCGCTCACCAAAATCAGATTGCAGCTTTCACTGTATTTTTTCCATCCTAACTCATATGTCTTGGAAATATAAAAGTTAATCTATTTTGTTGCCTACCACAAAGTTAAAAATAACATTTAAAAATGACATTGTGCTTCTTGGAAGAGAAATAGCATGCAAAAATTAAGCATGAATACCCTGAATTAGATTTTTTAATGACACTATATTTTATATTATTAAACTTTTTAAAACACTAAGTACATATAATATTTTAAAGCCATTTCAATATATTTGTTCTATGAATTAGTTCTTTGCAGAACATAGGTTCTAAGTTTTCTAAAATAATTTTTTTTTCTCTCTCTAAGGATATGAATGAACCATCAAGTTTTGTAAATGGATCAGTTACTAACCAATGCAGAAATCAGGAGCTAAATTATCCACCCTATTTTCCAGGTATAATTATGTTATCATTATTTTTATTATTATTCATTAATCAGTTTCTATACACCTTCAGAGAATGAGGTTTATATTTTTCACTTTTACAGCATACCTTCATACTGTGCCACACTTTGACCTATTATCAATAGTATTTTACATTATTTAGAGGAGAAAATAACAAAAAAAAACCATTTCTTATTCATGTGAAGACAACTCTAAACTTGATATTTTTGCTTTGGTTTTCTCAAAATCATTTTTTAAATTAATTTTATTGAGAAACAAATAGCAATGAGAAGTTTCAAAACAGGTTAGCAGGGTAGTTACAATAATTAAGACATTGAATATTTCTGTCTTCATAGTAGCTACTCATAGTACAAGATGCAGACATGATATACTGTCCAAACACTATTAGTACAAACCTTTCTTCTCTTTGAATTAAGAGAAAGTAGCTGTATATCTATTCCAACTATGATATAGATAGATAAATACATAGATAGATATAGATATAGACATAGATTTCACTACAAAATGGTCCTTCATTTATATCCCCTTTTTGTTTAGTTTTGTCAGAGATGGGTACTCCATTATCATTTAAATATTGTAGGTGCAGGATTTCAGCAAAATTATCCAATAAAGTCCAGTAGTCCATAAGAGTAGTGGGTTTTCCATAGGACTGGCAATGTCAGAAGTTGTTCACTTGAGCCTTTTTCAGCTCAGCGTATTAATGTGACTTTACTTTTCATACCTCATTTTTATACTTTTTGGCTGGATGGTTAAGACCAAGATAAAGCAAGACCTATATAACAAGAAATGTAACTTTGTATCTAACAAGGACAGTCAAATCTCCTCAGGATATAACCTGAAACTCTGTACTACAGTTTGTAAATCCTTTGTCAGTGTCAGCCATGTAGATGAGTCACGGCCATTGCTTGACCAATGTGCTTTCTGTGAAAGCCTGAGAGAATGTTTTCTCTCCATGTGACTCTCCTTAGGCACACTCTACATCATCGATCACTTTCCTCTTTGGCCCCATAATCTTGATCAGAAAATTTGGGACAACATTCAAAATCTTGCAAGACTTAAAATAACACTTTTAATTAAAATTGTTTTTAAAAAGATTTTCATTTATGCATTTAAACCTTATTTTTTATTACTATATGTCATTCTTATTGATCACATTCATCACAGGAAATTTATATCTGTATATAGAATTTCTGAATTCTTTTTTCCTCCATTCTCCTCCCCACCCTTCAACTTCTCCTCTGATTCCCATTCAGAAAAGCTTTGCCATTGTTTTCTCCTCCATAACCTTTTTATTTTTTTCTTGAAATATTGAATTTTTATTTTTTGAATTCATTTTAATGAGCAAAAAGTAAAATAGCAATGAAACAGTTTCAAAACACATTAGTAGGACAGTTACAATAATTAATGCATTGCATATTATTGCCTTTATAGTAGTTATTCAGAGGACAAGATGCAGACATTATATCTTGCCTAAACAATATTAATGCAAACCTTTCTTTTCCATAAAACGTAAACTTCTTTTTCAATTTTCCATTCCTTTCCTTCCCCTTACTCCCTCCCTTGTTCCTCTTGCTCCTTCCCTTGTTCCCCTCCCTATTTCAATTTATTTTCTTACCTCCTGATATCTATCATCTGGTTTTCTCCTTATGTGTGATTTTAGTTTTTGCAAGAGAGAAGCAATGCAATATTTAATGACGTGTATGATTTATTTTACTTAACAGCATGGTCTCAAGGTGCATCCATGCACCTACAAATGTCTTAAGTTTATCCTTTTTTATGGCAAAGCAATAGTTCATTGTATATAAATTTTTTTCTTTATTTATTCAGCACTTGATGAGTATATGGGGTGTTTCCAATATTAATTCTTATAAATTGTGCTGCTGTTAACGTGCATGTGCATGTATCCCTGTGATATGATACTTTTCTAAATCTTCTAAGAAAATACCAAGAAGAGGAATATGGTGTGTAATGCACCTCTATTTCTGAGTTTTCTGAAAACTCTCCCTACTGATTTGCATTGTTTGCCCCGACTGACTCTCCCACCAACAATGGACAAGGGTTCCTCTTCTCCCACAGCCCTATGAGCATGTGTTATTGGTTGACTTTTCTGAGGATAGCTATTCCTTCTGGAGTGACAAGTATCTCAGTGCTTTTAATTTATATTTTGTGAATGACTAGTAATGTTGAACATTTTTTCATATGTTAATTTGCTCTATGTACTTTTTGTCTTAGAAATGTATATTAATTTTAGATTCCTATTTTTGGGCTAAGATTTTAAATTGGGAAGGGGTGTCTTTTTTGTGTTCCATAGGCAGTTAAAATTATTTTGCATTCTGTGGGTTGCTTCTTTACTGTATTTGTGGTTTCTTTTGCTGTGCAAAGGCTTTTTAGAATTATAAGATATTAATTATTGACTCTAATATGTTCTTCTTGACTGCGTATTGTTCATTCAGTCTTACAAAGACATATGTATGTCTTCAAGAGTTTTATAAAATTTATCTTTTAACAGATTATGTATTTCTGTTATAACGTTTAGATCTTTGATCCATTTTGACTTTGGCTTAGTGCATGATGAGAGAGAGAAACATGATTTTAGGCTTACTCTTTAATATGTGCCCTGCCATCTTTCCCAGGACCATTTACTAAAAAGGCAGAAAACAAATAAATACAATGAAAAATAACAAATTAAAAAACATATAAGCAAGATTTAATCTATAACACTCAATTTGCCTAAATCAAGCTGAAGGAATTAAGATAGAGGAATTATAAAGCATCTCACCTGAGTTTTATGAAGGAGTAGCAGCAGAAATAATGAAACCAATGAATAAATATCTAGATTAAAAACAAATCAGACATAAACACAGAGACAAGAATTACTGACCATATAGAAGAAATGATCCGTGAATCTAGAGTAGATATATATAAATACAGAGACACTTAGAGAAAACATGAATGCTCAACGTAAGAAAGAACTGATAACATAAAACAGATACAAACATATATCCAGGAGATTAAATATTCTACTGAGAGAATAAACAACACAATGAACCCATGTAAAGACAAAATATTGCATCTGGAAGACAAAGCTGTGTTTAGTGATCATCAAATGAAAGATTCCTTAAAAGTAGCAAGGGATCATGAAAAATCAGTCTCACTCCTGGAGGATGATGGGAAGAATATAATGTCAATTGGAATCAATGAAAAATTAGACTAAACACAAAGGACATGAAAAACCTGTTCACAGAATTAATAGCATAAAACTTCCCAAATCATGAGAAAATAATTTGATTAGTTATTATCAGAAAAAATAAACCGCACAAAAAATACATAATTTTCAATATTCAAGAAATTCAACACAAGAACTTAATATTAGCACATGTTTTGGGAAAGAAAGAAATTACTTCTGAAGGAAATTAGACTTCTCAACACAAATCATTGAGTCAAGGAGAGCTTGGAGTACAGTTCTTCAATCTTTAAAAAAATCAACCTGCAGTCAAGGTTGTTGTACCTTGAAAATTATCTTTTGAAATTGATAGGGAAATAAAACATGTCCCTAATAAAGAACACCTGAAGAAGTTCATGATCACCATACCAGTGATGAAAAATTATGAAGAATATACTAGAAAGAGGCAATGGAGACACCAATTCCAACAACTTAAATAGAATGAATCCATCCAGCTAGGCAAATAGTTAAGCAGAAGGGAAAGAAAGTTAGCCAATGACAAGGAAATAATATTACAAGGATAACTCAATGCATATCAGTTGTAGCCATCAATGTGAGTGGTCCTAATTCTCTAATCAAAAGAAACAGATTTTCAGAATGTATCAAGACACATGATCAAACACTATGCTTCATACAGAAACAGATTAACTCAAGAAAAATTTCACAGACTGAAAATTAAAAATGGAAAATAATATCCTGTGTGACAGGAACTGAGTAAACGTTAGAGGTAGTTATTCTATTTGCAGATAGAGTAGATTTCAAGCCAAGACAGATTGGAGAAGACAGAGAAGACCACTGCGTAATTATTAGAGAACAATACAACAGAAGGGATAACAATCATAAATATATATGCACCATATGTCAGTGCACCCAACTATGCAAACAAGCACTAATGGATATAAAATATTAGATAAACACTAATACATAGGGAGATCTCAGTATAACACTGCCACAAATAAACAGGTCAACTACACAAAAATCAATAAAGAAATACTAAATCTGAACCGAACCTTTGAACAAATGGATTTAGTGGGTAAATTACAGAGGGTTTCACACAACAACAAAATATATATTCTTCTCAGCAGCACATGAATCTTTCTCCAAAATAGACAGGCAATAACTCATAGGATATGCTTAAGTAAATGCAAAGGAAATGAAATTATCCTATGTATAATATAAGACCCTGTTGCAACGAAACTGGAAATCAATGGCAAGAAACCTCACAAGAACGTCATAAATACATGGAAATAAAATAATATCCTCTTGAAAACTGAGGGCCACAAATGAAATTAAAGAAAGAAGTTAATGAATTTCAACAACTGAATGGTAATGTCAGTATAACATATTGAAACTTATGGGATGCAATGAAAGCAGTGCTATGAGGGAAATTTCCAGTAGTGAATTCCTGCCTCTGGAAAACAGAGCAAACTCAAAAGAGAAGAAAAAGGCAAACCCAAAGTATATAAAGGGATGGAAATTTCAAACACCAGACCAGAAATTAATGCAATTAAAATTAAGAAAACAATATAAGGAATCAATGAATTAAAGAGTTGTTTCTTTGAAAAATTAAACAAAATTAGACAAATCCTCAGCCAGTATTGCTTAAATTACTTCTAATTTGTGCAATTTATGCAATTTTTTTCCTGCAAAAAGGAAAGATTGAAGTCACAGTGGGTCTTGCAGAAATACTGAAGATCAGTAATACCCACTTCAAAAACCTATATTCTGAAAAGATGGAAAACTCAGAAATGGATAGATTCTTAAATACATATGAATTACCAAAGCTGAATCATGAAGATATAAAATTTCTAAATAACTCAATATTAGTCAATAACATTGAAGAATTAAAAAACGAGCTACAAACAAAGAAAAGCCCATGTCTTGGTATATTCTCTGCTGAATTCTACCAAACCTTAGAGAACATCCAATGCCCTTATTCCTTGAAACTCTCAAATGATACTGGAAGAGAACTAATATGCCTAAACTTATTCCTGGATGCAGGCCTTACATTAATACCCAAAACTAGAGAAGGACTCAACCAAAAAGAGAGTTACAGAGCAGACTCCTTAATCAACATAGATGCAAAAACTCTCAGTAAGGTATTGGCAAAGAACAAATCATCAAGAAGATTATGTATTATGACCAAGTTCACTTGGTCCCAGCAATGCAGGGATGCTTCAACATATGCAAATTAAAAAATGCAATAAAAATCAATAAATGCAATAACAAAGCCAAGGGCAAAAACTACATGATCATCTCAATAGAGGTTTATTCATTTTAGCTAGGGAAATGTGCAAAATTTTATTACTTTTTTGCTTATCTTGAAACCAGGTTACTAACATTCGAAGTAGGCCAGGGATGTAGTTCTGTGGCACAGCACTCACAAGGCAAGTGCAAGGCCCTGAGTTTGGTTTCTCATACCGAAAACAAAACAAAACAAGACAGAACAGAACAAAACACCTATAAAAATCTAACATACAAAGTGACAGTACTTAGAATTACAGATTAATATGCTCATTTGTAATCAGAGAATTATATAAATGGTGAAGCATTAATAATTTTTATGAATTGGTTAATTTAATAAGATTAATTTCTTTGTCCAAGGAATATATCAATGGGCACAATGGTCTTTGAAATAATTTCTGTCATTCTTTTCTAGAGTAGGTTGTACATAACCACTAATAACGGATATATATTTCAAAATACTTAGAAGAAATGAAAAAATCTTAAGATAATGATGTTTCTTACCTGAGTTGATTAGTACTTAGTATATACATGAATCAAACAAAGCATCACATTGTATCTTTTAATGTGTAAATATTGTGTGAATCAAAAAGATACATTAATGTAAAATTTCAAAAGGATATATAGTTATGAGATACACTTTTCAAAGCGGGGCACTTAAATTATTTCTTATTCATTTTCTCCAGAACTTACAAAAAGATATGAAGGGCTACATTTCAGAACTCTGTGCATGGAAACTGAGCAGATACTTAGCGATGGAACATCAGTTCTACATTACGATGTTCATAATCTGTATGGGTGGTCACAAGCAAAACCTACATATGAGTAAGAAGTATTCACAATTATTCTCTCATTTTGTTTTGTTTTTCAGGACTTGCCTTTAATACTATCTATGTAATTGTCCTGGTACTCTTTTTGTTCCCAATTATACTATATAATTCACCTTTCCCTTCACTTTTATTAGACAAAATGTGTTTCTATTTATCTGTCATATAGATTTTCATTTTTTTAAAATTTTCATCTTATTTAAACAAGAATTCATGGGCCTTTTAACTTTGTTCTCCCACACAATCATAGTACAATGCCTGTCAGATAGGAGGTTCTCAAGGAATAGAGTCAAATAAAGTATATAAATAACATAATTAGATGTCACTAATGAAAATTTAAGCATGCTAAAGCATGCTTATTATTATTAGTTAAATCTGTTACTGACAAGGTAGAGTTTCTCAGATTGCTCTTGATCCTCTCAAATTAAGATCACGCTAATCTTCACTTTAAACACATTACTTTGTGAGACCAATAGTAATGGACAGACTGTTCTCTATCAAGTATTTATTAGCTCTGTTCAAGCAAATATCCTGCAGTGGTATAAATGTTCTGTAATTCTTGACCTCTGCTGTGATATCCATGAATCATACAAGGCTGTTGAGCAATGTAGCTAGTGAGTTGGAATTTAAAAACTTATTTATTTTTTAGTGATAATTGAATATGAAATAAGAGGCTGTTAGTGGTCACCTTATTAGAGAGTATAGCTTTCTAGATCACTGGAATTTTAAAGTACAAATAAAAATTCTTCAACAATGTATTCTTGGTTTAGTTAAATTGTTCAAATTTAAACAGATGAGTTAAGTGAAAAATTATTACTTCACTGATGGTCATAGACTTTTTCACTAGGTCTGAAAATAGAAACTCTAGTCCTTTATAAGAGTGAGGAATTTTATTTTCAACAATGTCTTCTTAGTTAAACATGTTTTAATTATTTTTTAATTGTTGGTATACATTTGTGACTCATATAAATTACATTCTCCTTAAATCTACATAAATATATTCTTGATAATTTTCCTGCCCTTGCTAAAAACCCTTTCCCATCCTGTCAAAGCTTATTTCCACGTTTCTTAGTTTCTGTCTCACATAAGAGAAATCATGCCGTACTCCTCCTTCTGTGTGGTGCATTTCACTTAGCATTATGGACTTAGCAGCCGCCAATTTTACTATAAATGACCCAAGTTTACCCTTTATTAGCCTTATTAGAGCATAATATTGGAGAAAAACAGCCCTCAACCAACATTACTTTCCTAAAACAATAGATGTTATAAAATAAAAATGTTAATAAATTATTGATTATTCCCTTGGCAAAAATTATCTAGTTGAAGAAAATGTCTTGTATAAAAACCCAAAATACTACTTCATCTATCATAGTGCAATTCGAAAGACAACTGGCAAAAGAGGGATTGTTATTTCCCGTTCCACGTATCCTACTGCTGGACGTTGGGCAGGGCACTGGCTTGGAGACAACTATGCAAATTGGGACAATATGGACAAATCAATCATTGGTATGTAAGAAACATTACCTGTATCTATTTGTGTAGGTTTTTCTATCAAGTTTTCACATTTTGTGATGTTAACTCATAAACTTCATGATCCTTTGATGTAATATTTTATAGCACAGGGCCTCTTGTAAAGCACATACTATAGGAAGCAGGATCGAAAATAGTGTGTAGAGTCTAACAACTGATTATGTTTTTAGAAAAGCTATCTCCTGTTCTTTTTCCAAAGTTTTCTGTTTGAAAAGAACAGGAACTGGGAAAGACAACACCTAGAGAGGATAAAGAAGATAAGCAGAGCTGGGGAAATAGCTCAGTGGCTTAAGGAAACATTAACAAATACATTGTGAATTTTTTTAAATATAAATGGTAAATAACATCTTATTTTAAAGTGAAAAAAACTTTTTTATTTGATGTCTAGTATTTAAGTCTCTTTATGAATGATACTATCAAAGACAGCAAGATGTAGAAATATTCTTAAAAAATAAGATCGGGGAAATCCCATTCATTCTGTTTGATGGAACTGATCATTTCCTAGAGGATTTTATTGAAGAAATATAATTAATTTAATAGCCATGGCTAACTAATTTTAGAAATGGTCTCTGTTTTCAAAAATGAAATGGATAACTGCTAGTATTTTATTCTATTATGTATTCAAAATAGATGTGTGATCTAAATTTTTTAAAAATTAATTTTACTGAGAAAAAAATAGCAATGAGACAGTTTCAAGATTGATTAATAGGACAGTTTCAATAATTAAAACACTGTACATTATTGTCTTCTTAGTTGTTATCCATAGTAAAAGATGCAGACATGATATCATGTCCAAACACTATTAGTACAACTCTTTTTTCTCATTGAATGAAGCAAAAGTAGCTGTATATCTATCCTACCTATTCTGTATACACAGATGCAAAATGGTCCTTCCTTTGTATCCCCTTTTTTTATTTAGTCATGTCAGAGATGTGTATTCCATTGCCATCAAAATACTGTGGGTGTGTAAATTCAGCAAAACAATCCGACACAGTCCAGCAGTCCACAATAGTAGTGGGTTATCTGCAGGACTGGCAATGTCAGAAGTTGTTGACTTGAACCTTACACGGCTCAGCATATTAATATGGCTTTACTTTATATACCTCGTTTTTATACTTTTCTGCTGGATGGTTAATACCAAGATAAAGCAAAACCTATATAATAAGAAATGTAGCTTTTGTATCTGATAAGATCAGTCAAGTACCCTCAGGATTTATCCTGCAACCCTGTACCATAGTTTGCAGATCCTTTGTCAGTGTCAGCCATGTGGATGAGTCACAGCCATTGTTTGACCAATTTGCTCTCTGTGAAAGCCTGAGAGAATGTTTTCTCACCATAGGCACACTCTATATCCTCAATCACATTGCTCTGAGGCCCCATAATCTCCTTGATCAGAAAATTTGGGACACAACTGTGTTACATGATGTTACAGTATAGGTTCTCCTATGTCCTGAGTCTTCACTGATTTTGAAAAGCTAGTGTCAAAACGTAGGCTGTCCTTGCAGCCCTTCTATTCCTCTAATTTTTGGTCTGCAAACTTAGGTTGTTATCCTTCAGAAGAGAAGCTTATTATTACACTACAACATATGCAGTTGGGTTTAACCTCACTATCTGTCTGAATATAAAACATCCTAGGCATAACATGGAACCGGTACTTTCCATCAAATATTGATATGTTAAACTTAAAGTCATAAATATTGTGGCTATAGAATCTGTAGGATTTTTTATGAATAGTATACATACTAAGAACTAAAAAATATAATTATTGCAAGAAGTGATACTTGAGTACACTATATTAATAGTCTGAAAACTGATTTATTGAGTTATACTTTATATTTGAATATCTTTACTAATTGAATTAAAAACTAAAATTTATGAAGAAATACGTTTGTAATATTATCTCCAATTATTTTAGGTATGATGGAATTTAGTCTCTTTGGAATATCATATGTAAGTAGATCTATTTCTTCTGTTTTCATCATTTATAAATATTAAGAAATATACTGTGCAAATTTAACTGAACATACTATCTTTCAGACTGGAGCAGACATCTGCGGTTTCTTCAACAATTCAGAGTATCATCTCTGTGCTCGGTGGACACAACTTGGTGCATTTTATCCATATTCCAGAAATCACAACATTGCCTTCACTAGAGTACGTAATGATTGTGTTTACTTCTAATCCTTTCCCCTAGTAACCTTTTTGTATTTCGTGAATCTGACCCGGCTGACTTCCAAATGAATGTTTTCAATCACTTTATACTTGTGAAAGATTCTTTAGTCATCATTTTGAGAATTTTCTAACTTAAAATATGTTACACTACATTTAGAGGCCCATAGTTTGGTTAGCTGGCATATGTAATGTAGTTGTTTTATGTAATGTTGGAAGAATAAGGGAAAAAATTATCTGCCTTTGAAACTTCTTTCAAAGTGAAACAGTACAACAAATAAACTAGTTTCAAACTAAGTGATTGGCAGCAAAAGTCATTTGTAGAAATTCTATTTGTAGAATTAGGAGGCAAATATGAAAACAATGGTTTGAGAAAATGAGAAACAATACAAGGAACATGATGAAAGAATTAGTTTCTGTGTGTGGAACAAAGAATTTGGCAGCTAGTTTTGAGTGATATGGGACAGTATAGAAAATATTGAACAGTTGGAAGAAGTATCTTACCAAGTGGTAAAATTTTGACACTGGCCCTGAGTGAAAGAATGTAAAGATATATTAACAAACTGCATGTGATGAGATGGTGGAATACAAAATATCTGAAGGGCAGAATCTAGCCAGAGTTACTGCATGATGGAGCTCATGAAGTACTCTCCAAACTTTGTACCCCCCCCCCGTGGCAACATTTAGTTGTAGTAAAAGAAAAGAATGATTTTGGAAAGAGTCAAAGTACAAGGACACAAATCCAAAGGAGACCACATACAGGAAGGATTTGAAAGTTGGGCAGTAGAGACATGAGTGTGCAAAGTAAGATTATTTTAGTAGGAAATTGATGGCAATAGAATTTTAAAATTATAATATTGAGGGAGCAAGAAATAAATCAATGCAAGCATGAAAAGAGATTAATTCATATTGTTTGAAAGTCTACTATCAAATGTGAACTAAGTCTTTCTGATAATGGTTCAGGTATTGTTGGGAGACTTTGAGATAAAGAACAATTATATATTATATGTGTGCACATGTATGTATATTATGTAAGTACACACATATACATCTGATTTTATTAAATGTGTTTGAGATAAAAATATAGTAGTAGACAAGCAAATTACAGAGTCTTGGGGTGGGGGTTGGTTTTTCAAAGTGTTAAAAAGACCTTGGATGAGAGACATCCAAAAAGAGATCTGAGTGGGAGAGAACCATCAATACAAGTATATGGAGGAGGAGATTTTCAGATTGTAGTCATCAGTCGGACTATTTCTTCAGGATTGAAAAAAATCTTTATGTAACCTAAAAGCATGTGTACCAGTGATGACACTCAATCAACATTTGAACTTTCTTATTCCCCAAATCTAGAATAGTTGTGAACTTCATAAATAGACATAGCTTATAAAAGAACCACTTAGTATAAATAAAAATATTGAGTAAGTTTCTTCTTGGAGTCATGAGGTAGCTTTGTGTCCACAGTATAAATTAAAACATAAAATATCATTCCCTTTTCCTTCTATTATTAACTAATATATTTACTGTCATTTTAATAGGCTTTAATCCTCTACTATCAGTGGCAGTCTTTGGCCTGAAATGTGTATTACAGAGCAGACTGCAACATATCTTTTCTTTCATTCAACATGGTGTACTATTGTGCAATTTTTTTTTTTTTTGGTGGAACCAGGGATTAAACTGAGGCTCTTGCACTTGCCAGGGAAGTGCTTATTCCACTGAGCTATCTCCCTGGTCCCATATTGTGCAATTTTTGTACTATGGACCCTTTGCTACCATCCTCTCTTCACTATTCAAGAGGATTCATTCTGGGCTAAAATGATGAGATTTGTATGTACCTCATTATTCAAATCCATCCTTATGTAACATATTGTATCATTTCTCCCATCAGCCTCTTAATTCAACACTGGTTATCACCTAAAATGACAAAGGATTTGTTATGTGTTAAGATATAAACTACTTATTGTATACGTTCATCTAACCTAAATCAAGCCATGAGTTTTGTCTGTAGTTTTTTTATTAAAACATTAATTCATTATTATGCCTTCACACTTCATGTGATAAGATAGAAACATAAGATTTTATCTGAAGACATATAACATAAAACAGTGAAATAAAATTTTCTAGTTTTTATTCTCTGGATAAATATTTGAATATTATGATTTAAATGAAACAATTTATTTCATTGTGTTTTGTTTAGAGACAAGATCCTGTTTCCTGGAATGAAACCTTTGCGCAAATGGCAAAGAATGTTCTAGAGATTCGATATACATTACTACCCTATTTCTATACACAACTGCATGAAATTCATGCTAACGGTGGTACTGTTATCCGACCTCTTTTACACGAGTAAGTTTCAAAATGACTTTTCTTAGCAGAATGAATTACTTACATTTATTTAAAAATTAATTTTCTGTATTGTAATATGTTCATTGGTATTTCAGTATACATTTTGGGTGAAAAATGTGCTTACATAAGTGTTTCTATGAATAAATAGACTAGTATTCCTATTAGTATATGAGACCCATTACTTAGTTATTTGTAATAACTATTATATATTAGACATTATTCTAAACATTTTACATACATTGTTACCTTGAGAGTTTAAAAAAAATCTTGCACAAAATTAAAATTTTATTTTGCATTAATTGAGATTTTAATGTCTTTAAATAAATCTACTAAATACAGATGCCTCACTGCAAGAAACAATATTACCTTTCACAGAGATAGGTTAATAGGACACTCAACAGTTTAAATATTCTCTGTAGAAATTTCTTTTACAGAAACTACCTTCATATCTCAACGTGATATGAAAAACTCTTGAAAATTTTATTCCATGGAGCATCTTCAGAAATATTTTTGTATGTTGTTTTCTATTTTTAAGGCTGATACAAATTCTTAGTCAAATTCAGTAACAATAAAAATTACAATGACAATAAAACACTTAATAATCAAAAAGGGTTTTGCTTCTTACATGCCATCTATTATAATTAAATAAGGTGATTTCTCAAGTTTCATTATTTATATTCAGTGAAATCAGCAAATATTTACTCAAATTAAAGAAACAGTATGCAAATAAATGTAGCAAAATTTTAAATTGATCATTTCATATATTCTGTGCTTTTTGTTTTTGTTTTTTCTTTTCTTTACTTTTTTTTTTTTTTTTTTTTTTTTTTTTGTAGAACCAGGGAATTGAACTCAAGACCTTATGTTAGCCAAGCAGGCACTTATGCTCCTGAGCTATCTCCTTGGCTTTTTAAATAATGTAATAAGATACCTAGTTAAAAAGAAATAACAAACCTTTTCTTTGATTTAAAAGACATTCCAGTTGCCTAATCCATTCTGTATTTCTGATAACTTTTTGCTGATCCCTTTACTTTTTCATGTACAGCTCCATCTTGATTGCTTTCATCCGCAGTAGCATCCCCGTACTGTTGCACTGCCCAGTCTGGGCTGTGTCTCCGGAGAGAAGCACTATTATTAACTGTGCAGATTCGGGTCCTGTACGCATGCCGCTGCCTTTGGTTCAGGACACGTTCATGGAAGAGTAAATTTAGCAATCTGCTAATTTAGTATTGATGTCAGATACAAATATAATTAAAATAAGCCACCCAATACACATTTTTAAAAAAATCACTCATTTTAAAGGAAAAGAAATATGAGCATTTAAAATTGCTTATTCTCAAACTACCTAAAATTTTTGTTTTTTTGGTGTCCCTTTTCATCTATATTTGGGAATCTCTTAATGTATGTCAAGCTTTACAATACCAAAGAGCTCCAATTTAAGTAAGATTAGTGAATTCCTTGTTAAAGTTACCAAAGCAACATTTTTTACAACAAGCTTTACAATCCTCTTCCACAGAGTCTCCAAATTTTGCTTCTTAAGTTTTTGATCATGTTCTACGTCAGGCTCACGTGAGCACCCACCGTCACAAACCAGTCTGCAAGGTGATTGAACTGGGTTTGCTTTTCACTGCTCTCTTGTACATTGATTTAATGTGCCCCATCTTAGGTTAGATTTACACGTAACGCACTATTCCACTCTAAGTTATAACATTGTTCTTAATATTTCAGCATTTGGTTGTTATTTGAGCCCACAGATGCACACATCTCCAAATGTGATTTACATAAACATCTTATAGTGTTCTGGAGGGAAAAATTTCTCTGATTTCATTTTCATTTGTATTTATTTTGTGAAGGTTTTTCAATGAAAAGCCGACGTGGGATATATACAAACAGTTCTTGTGGGGGCCAGCCTTCATGGTTACTCCTGTACTAGAGCCTGTAAGTCTTGCTACCTATTTTACTCATAAAATAACATTTGAGCTGATGTGATTTTAATGATTATATCTTTAAATTCCAGTATGTGGATACTGTAGAAGGCTATGTCCCTAATGCTCGGTGGTTTGACTATCACACAGTAAGTATTTGAAGGATTCTGGCAAATTGAGAAATAGATATGCATTTGATTACTCATTGCTGTAATCAAAGACACATCTGTCTATTTTCCATTTAAAAGGAATGAAATATTTCTTGCTCTTTATAGCAAAATCAAATGAACACACAAGGAAAGCAAGTTAATTTATTTTCCAATAGTTTGCTATATTATCATTGATTGCTTTTAGTAAATAAACATGGAAAGTGTACCTTGTATTTAAAAAGGTCATTGTCCTTGATTGCTTTAGCAAAATGATCATTAAAAGCAATTCAGTCCTTCCAAGCAGAAGGCACAAGAACTGCCTTTGTGACCTTTCAAACAGCACACTATTTCTGCTGGTTAGCTCCACACAAATAAAGCGCCGGAAAGTACTTGCAGAGATGTTATGAAGTCCTATATTGCACTAGAATTTGAAGAACAGGAATTCTTGAAATAATGTTTGTGCTTGTGATATCTCTTATATTGAAAAGTGCAGCATCTGATTTCAAAATACGTCCTTGCGGGGTAGCCACATTGCCACAGAGTCCCCTCACTGTTCTGTCCATCCCTCTCATGTCTAGGGCCAAGATATAGGTGTCAGAGGAGCATCGCATGAATTTTCAGCTCCATTTGATAAAATAAACCTACATATCCGTGGGGGTTATATCCTACCATGTCAAGAGCCTAATAGGACCACATTTTACAGGTAAGTTAAAAGCTTTTAGGACTCCAATTAAATTTTGCAATAAATCCTACTGGAAATGTCAGTAATTAAAAAGGACCTAAAATATTTACCTGATTTGTAAGCTCATAAAGTAGCCTCTTGCAGTGTTGTGGATTCTGAGTTCAGAGATGAAGAACTGTGTTATTAATGCTTGTAGCATAACAAAGAACCAGAAACTTACATGAACGCCAGTTTTCTTTGTTGCTCATGCTCCACAGGGTGATGGGACGTGGCCCATGCAGATTCTGCATAGGTGGCAGATTTGTGTCAGCTGAGTAATTTTAGGGGAATTAAATATTTTCTAATGTACTAAAAGCAAATTTACTCATCATTTGCTTGGAAGAGAAGCACTACCTTTGTTAGAGGGATGATCAATAATGCAGCAGAAAATATGTTACCCTTTCTAATGATGTTTACTGCTAAAAAAAAAAAAAACAAACAAAAAAACTTAGGAGCTGGGGAGATGGCTCAATAGAGTAAGTGCTTCCTTGGCAAGCACAAGGGCCTGAGTTGAATCCCTGGTTCTGCCAAAAAAAAAAAAAGAAAGAAAGAAAGAAAGAAAGAAAGAAAGAAAGAAAGAAAGAAAGAAAGAAAGAAAGAAAGGAAAAGAAGCTAATAAAAAAGAGAAAAGGTAATTTTTAGAAAAAGCTGTCAGTGATTCTCTAAGTGCAATGTACAAATGCAAAATACACATGAAAAACTGTCTCCCAATGAGAATTTCTCTTTTAATAAAAGCTAAAACTTAATACTCTTTGTACATAATATGCAAAAGTATTGACAAAGTCTTTTGAATGGATGCCTTACTTAGGTCTTTTTTTTTTTTTTTTTACCTTTATGTATGGAATGAAGCATTGTCTACTTCTTCAAGAGTGATTTTATTAATAAGAACTTTTTAAAAAACAGTTTTAGATTCCAACAAAATTGGAAGAAAAGCCCAGAGATTTTCAAAGAGGCCCCCAGTTCCATAGCTGTCTCTAATATCAATCTCTTTGGCCTGAGTGGTACATTTGTGATAACTAGTGAACCTGCATGGACACGGCATTATTACCCAATGTTTGTACTTTACACTAAGGGTCAGTGTTCGTGCTTTACGTTCTATTGGTTTAGACACATGCTTAATGGCCTGGAGAACTCAATACAGTATTGCACATCACGGCTTCCATCACTCCCTGAACAGCGTTTCCTACTTAATCATCCCTCTTAAACCCAACTGAGACACTAATACTTTCATTTTCTCCATAGTTTTGCTTTTTCCAGAATGTCATATTGTTAGAATCACAAGATATAGGTTATTCAGATTGGATTATTTTTTAAACGTGTTTCAATATTTAATACTCTATAAAACATAATTTTAATCAATATACTATTAAATTTGAAACAAAGTGCATTTTCTAGAATTATATAATTTTTTGCATTCTACATTGTTTAAATAGAAGTAAAAATAGTTTTAAAATACTAGAAATGACACAGAATTTCACTGACCAAATAGGAACACTAATGCTTGATACATAGCATAGTGTTAACTTCAAGTTAGTTGTTCAGATTACTAGAAATAAGCATTCATAATTGGAAAAAAAATGAAAAAGAAGAAAAAAAATATCATCAGCTATTCTTTTCAATAGACTAGTAGAAATCAGCAGTAAAATTATCCAAGTTATCCTGTATATGTACATATATAGTTTTCCATCCCTTCCTCCCTGCCTTTCTCTCTTGTTCTCTTCCTCCCTTCCTTCCTTTATTTCTTTCCTTCCTTTTTTGTTTTCTACTCTTTTCTTTTTGCCTTTTCCTTATCACAGTTCCTTCCCTTTGAATAACCTATACATTTTACTATATCTATTGAACCTCTTGGATTTTATTTACTCTTTCAGGTTCTTATACTAGGGAGACAAAATAATGTTTACACATGTCAATCTGATTTATGTCACTTATGAGTATGGTCTCTAGTTGCATCCATTTGCCTATAAAAACTGAGAGTTTATCTTTCTTTATAGCTGAGTAATATTCCATTGAGGATTATTTTACCTAGCACTATATTTAGATTTCCTGCATATCATTTCTTAGTTCTATTTTTTGGTGAAACCAGGGATTTGAACTCAGGACTTTGCAATTGCCAGGCAAGCACTTATTCTACTGAGCCATCTCCCTGGGCCATTTCTTAGTTCTAAATCTCATTTCTTTTTAGTACTAAACATATATTCCATTTTAGGCACTTCTTTATAAACTTCAAGTCAGTATTGTTTGGCAGTATCATTGGTAGCATTTCTCTTTTTGCCTGTTTCCCATTTCCCTGTCTTTGCCTCTGTCTCACCCCAACTGTGTATGTCCAGGATCACTAGGATGCATGAAAACGCACATGTCCATCTACAGTTGCTCTACTCTTCCTTCGAGCTAAATTTCCTGCAGTCCATAAAAGATGCAGACCCTTTCACTCTTTTCTTAGTTACTAAAGTCTGGCAAGCTTAGTAGTAGTCCCTTTATCTCCTAGAATTATCCAGCTTTATGTCTGTTAATATTTTATTCTGACATCAATTATAAAGGAGAAATATGGTCACACTGGACAAAGGAAACCCCCAAAAGACACCATAATTTGTGCCTTGACTTTGATATGAAAGAGATTGTTCAATCACTTTCTATCATTTTTCCTATGCATTTTCCTATTGTATGGGGTGCAGCATATGGGACATGGAGCACAGGCGTGCACACAGTGTGCATGCAGGTCTTGAGAATCTTCTCAATCTCAAATTTTGAAATATTTTGGGGAATTGTAGGCATGTGAAATTTCTTGCATATCCAGAGTATTGACTGTAACATCTGTGACTATTAACTGATATATATTGTATTAACTAATAAGTAACATGATACCTA